GCAGCTGCTTGAGAATTCTCAAACAACAGTCCCCTTGAAAACGTTTGGACAGAGTTCGTTGATAGACTCAGAGACATTGTCAACAGAGCATCAGAGACCAAACCCCTTCGTCCCGCAAAAATGCCTTCAATTCTAAGGAGTAGGACTCGAAAATGCCTGGCGATAAGGGATGCAGCATGGCGTGCCTGCAAGATTAACCCCGACTCAGAGACTTGGGGCAATTTCCTGACCCATCGCAACAATTGCACTGCACTTGTCCGTGAGGACAAAGTAACTTATAAACAGTGCCTAGCCAAAAAGTTCATGGCAAACGACAAAATGCTGTATAAGCATGTCAATAAGCTACGTAAAGTGAAGCATGGAATACCCCCACTATTCACGACAGGCAGTAGAGTACAAAGCGCCGAAGAAGCAGCTAATGCCCTGCGGCTGCAATACGCCCCAATTTTTGAACTCGCAACATCTACCTGTCCCATAATATCAAGCACATTACCGACACCTTTGTTTACAAATGTTATTTTCAACCCATCAATTGTGCTAAGGTAGTTACTCTCACTGCGTGAGCATAATTCTCCAGGAGCAGACAACATCCGCCCGAAGGCACTGAAGGCTACGGCCACCAAGCTAGCTGAACCACTGTCACAGTTCTTTCAAAGGTGCTTTGATGAACAACAAGTCCCCACTATGTGGAAGTGTGGCATTATAACCCCTATTTTTAAAGGAGGTAGCCGTTCCGATTCTGCAAACTATCGTCCAGTGACTCTCCTCCCTGTGCTCGCGAAGGTGATGGAAGCAGTCGTCGCTGAGGCTTTAATGGACTACCTGGAAAAATGCAACATTTTGGTACCGGAACAGCATGGCTTCCGTCAACACTGGTCATGCACCACCAACCTACTGATTGCACGAGGTAGTTGGACGGAAGTGGCCGATGATGGGGTCGGAGTCGACGTCATCTATCTGGACTTCTCCAAAGCTTTCGACCGCCTTGATCACCGCATCCTACTTCAAAGACTACAGAGTTACGGAATCGGTGATCCTGTACTTGGTTGGATTGGCAACTTCCTTTACCAACGAAAGCTTCAAGTACGTGTTAGGGGATCACTTTCTAACCCAATTGAGGTGGAATGTGGTGTCCCGCAAGGCTCAGTGCTGGGACCGCGTTTATTCCTGGTGTTTATCAACGACCTGGCAAGAGTCATCTCCTCAACTTTCCTGCTTTTCACCGATGACGTCGTGATATGGCGAGCGATTAATAACAATGAAGATCACCAAATACTCCAACATTACCCAGATAGCATTTATAAATGGTCAAAAAGGAGCCTGCTTCAATTGAACATACCTAAGTGCAAGGTGATACATCTGCGTCACCAGCCGGTGAGCGCTTACAAGATTGGAGACCACAACTTGGCGAAGGTTTCTCAGGAGCGTGACCTGGGTATATTGGTACAGGAAGATCTCGGGTGTTCAAAACAAGCAGAGAAGGCGACGAGAACCGGCACTCAACACTTCGGCCTGCTTCGCAGAGCCTTCGGTCGGTTTGAACCATCAATATTTCCCCAAATGCTTAACGCCTACGTGCGACCTCACATGGAATATGCTATTCAGGCGTGGCAGCCGTGGCAGAAACAGGATCTCGTTGCTCTCGAGACTCCTCAACGACGGGCAACCAAGAACGTCAGGGGCCTCTTTCATCTACCCTATCAGCTTAGACTGAAATCTCTAAGAATGTACAGTAGTCAATATCGGCTTTTGCGGGGGGATCTCATAATGGTTTACCAGATGCTGAAGAACCCAAACCACATTTGCCGTCCGCTGCTGGAATTGAACCACAACACTAACTTAAGAGGTCATTTTCTGAAACTGACAATTCATTATAGCTGGCTTGAATGCCGTAGAAATTTCTTTTCTCTCCGCGTGTGCCAGCCTTGGAACGCTCTCCCTAGTTATGTCGTCTCTGCTCCCAATCTGGCGATATTTAAAAAACCTGTTGACGATGCATTGTCTCACTTACATTTCATTTTATGACTTGTTAGCCAGGGGCTACAAAACGCAATCAAACGGTGTCTTGCCAAACGCCTAACCAATGGATTGATGGATTTATACGTTTAATACGCGAACATCTCCGATATTCCACATAAGTCTATGGTGAGTCCACCACAACGCTTTTCACTTTATTATGCAATTGATTTTCGCAATAATTTACATCCCACGGGAATTGTTAAGCGATGCTTTTTACCCGTAATAAGCCATTGTTCCATTACTGACCACCGGCTTTTGTGTGGATTGATTCGGAACACAAAGGCGAATGAGCTAACTGTCTTTCAACGAGCTTCATATTCAGCAAGATACGGGTCAGACATTTATCACCAAAGGCTCGGGGTGGGTTCTCCTAAGTCAAAGTACTTCCTTGATGTGGGTGACCGGGAGGCCTCCGCCCACAAAGCACATAAATCCACCTAACCTTTCCTCTGACTGTATGTCTTTCCTTTTTGTTGTTGGTACACCTGCGTTGTGGTACTCTGCAAACCGTACATTGGTGATGTGTGATATATATATATATATATATATATATATATATATATATATATATATATATAGTGTCCCATGCTGAAGCTGATGTTGCATTCCTAATGCTACTTCACCGCAGTTGGGCTAAACCAACTACACTTAAACCAGGTCTCTTTAAGCTGCATAAATTTCATTCCACTTTATTTGGTTTGTTCTGCCCACCCGAAGAATCTTCTATTAACTGGCCACGTTGGTTACACTAATTGCGCTTATCTTCGGTAATTTTGTTGCATTTGTAGCATTTTTAAGTAACTTGTGGACATTTTTTCTTTATCGCGGATTTGTTGCTAACCAACTTGCTTCATATGCTAATTTAGCGAATAGTTTTGCCAACGTATCTGTATGCATTATTGGATTTGTTTTATTTCACCTAGTCGTTCTAGGCGGTTGGCTGTTGCTTGATATGCCCGGTGTGGCTGTGCTTGATGCGCATGTTGACAACGTGCCTACCAGTCTATTATCCACTACCTCGTCCATACTGGCTCCAGCAGACAGCTGGTCGTTGCTAGAGCGGAAGGGGTGCACGGTCCTCGTGGCCGTGTATGCCTCGAAGAGAGGTTCCATGCACTCAGTGTGGAGTGGACTACGGTCCAGCCACCGCCTTGTGTGCGCTTGATTTCCCAAATACAGCGTGCTTGTGTTTGCCTGTGAAGGAGTGTGGGCCGGCTCCGTTGATGAAACATGGCTCCAGTCCACATGCGTCCCGGTCTTATTCCTTCGGGTTTACACTGGACATGGTTGTGGTGTGGACATGGTGTGGTTGAAGCTGTGGGTGGTGCAGCGCAAGCCAACCATGGTCCCTCTGCAGGTGCAGTCGTCCTGTGGCTGGCCACAGTGACAGGTAAATCCGATACCGGATGCCGCCAGCTATATATATATATATATATATATATATATATATATATGTTCAAAGAAGTCTCCTGTTCAGTAAACCGAAGAGGACATTCCTTTGAAAGAGACAGTAGGATAAATATCCACTCTCGGCACAGTTACGGACGGTTCTCGTCGGTCACGGATCACAGATTGCCTCTGAATGAAAGAAAAGGGGTAACCGGCATCCTGTGGTGTCCTAAGCATGCATTCCTTTTCGCCTTCCCTAATGTCTGGACTACCAATTTTGTTGGCAAGATAATACTGAGAACGAATTAAGTTTCCTCTGTACTTCAATGGTACAAAACTGTGAAAATGTGCATATTCACCTGTCCAAGTACAATTTCGATAGACGCTCCTCTGGAATGAGCCGCCCTCTCGTCTGCTTAGCAATATGACTAGAAATCCTAGCATACCTTCCCTTTTAATACCGCTTATAAACACCTGAGAGCGGTGTGGGCTATTAAACTGATCTAACAGATGAGCAACAGCAGTGTTTCTTTGTAATCATAAATTAGAAAAGCATCGACAATGTACCTCCAGTAGAAATCAAGTGAGACGATAATTGTTCGGAGAGGCCCACCTCCACGATGGTCAAGGAAATTGTCGGTAAGCAATGAATCCAGGGGCGACCCCATTGCAGTGCCAAGCGCTATCCCAAAGAAGTTAATAGGCGCCTACTAATGACGGCTGAGATCATTTCGATCCGGCTAATGCAACATGAACTCTGCAAGCTGAGGGTGTAGAGCGCAAGTTGATGTAGACAATTAAGCTAGGTGACGCCAAGCTAGGTAAAGAAAACGCGCCGGCATGACACATTTTCTGCGTCAACGGTAAGCACTCAACTGACCTAACTAACAAGCGCTTATAGATGGGAATTGTTTACTGTTAAAGTCATCCATCACTTGAAAACCATATATGAAGACGAAAGCCGGTGCAAAAGGTGTACAACTATCGACTTCCATTATTTCAATTGCTGTTCAACCTTGTTTATTCAGCATACTTTATAAGCCACTCATGTATGCCCAGGTAGACAGATGTAGAAGAACGTTACGTTGCAGATACATCTGAACTTTCCTTGACATACACCTCAATTATGTGGTGCAGACTGATTACGCAGGGAGTGTTCCAAACAGTTGTGGCAGAATTTTAGGCGATTGGAAAATGTTAACTACTGTGAGGCCGTCTTGCAACAAGTAATACAGTCCACTGCATGATCATGCCAATTTCAATTCAAAGTGAAGTTGAATGAATCATGCATTGAATAATTTGTCACCTTGAGTTGTGGGGTCTCGAATGCACTAGAGTGGTGCATCGGTTACGACTAGTCTCTCAAACGCATGCTTTTGGAAGAGTTTAATCACCTCCTCTATGCAAACATACGAAACAAGTTAGGATGGAATGGCTTCTCCGCTGAACTGCGTGTAACAGTCATTAAAATCGTCCGCATGTAGTTTCGAGCCAGCATATCAGAAATATACATACACGGCAAACACTTCGCCATCAATCGAGGTAAAAATAGACAAGAATGTTTGATAGAACACCATGACTTTCAAACTTACTTTTGGGGCTGGCTGAAATACGAATTCTTCTAAATTTTCCGTTGGATCCAACCGTGTATGCGGGTTACTCTGGTCAGCAGCTTTGGAGATCCCTGTGGACTGAAACGGGGATGAGAAATAAGCAAAACTAGTCCCGATAGATGCCGCGAAATAACTGCAACAAACGCTTGTATGCAGCAACGTCGAACTTGAACCCTAACAACATGGGGTCAAAATACCGAAGTTTGCGAGTTGGTGTGCCCTGTGTCAGTTGGAAACTGGCGCACTTCGTCCGTGGGCTGATCGGATGGACGAAACAGTATTGACGGTTGCGCAACAGCTCGCCTGTGTTTGCGAGAGGGAATCCTTTTGCCCACCGACAGTATCCGAGCTGTTCGTGCCAGTTGAATGATCGGAGGCGATTTACACGATGCTTTTCTGCTCGACGGAGCAGTTACCTTCTTTGCATTTTTGGGTATAGGTGCGCGAAATCTGTCAAGTGTATCAGACGCCAGCAACGAAAGACAAGATTCAGTGGCACTAGCAGCGTTATGGAAAATTGGGTTAGAATTCTTTTGACCACCCACGTTTCCTCGTTTTCGCGAACCATGGGGTTTCGGAGATTTGAAGGATTCCACCTGGGTGACGAGGCTCTGAGCGTCACCAGCATCATTCTAGAAATGGTATTTTAGAGGGAAGTACAGTAACACTCAGAAATCAGTGTACCGCTCACTGATCCCGGCGGTTTTGTTGCAAACGTATCAGTGCGTTTAAAATGACTATTCCATTGGTGATGAAACGACGGCAACAAAAGTGTCAAACTCAGTGAACAGTTCAACTAACAAATGAATAATCTAAGTTATCAAAATGTACTTGAATAGCAAAACACGGTACCGCCCGGCAGCTGGGGGAATCAATTGCCAAACTTTTATCATGCTCTTTAAGTGACTCGCATTATAAACTGGTGTTTGGCCGACCGTTCTACTCTGCATTGTACATTTTTCATTTTCATTTTGGATATAATAACCAGCGAAGTAACTAACAACAAACCGCTTAGAGTACATCTAGTGTAGCTCCACGCTGCGAAGAGGAAAGAAGTCGGGTAATCACGGGAACGCTATGTACCTATTACAACCTTGCAATCAACTTGATTAGCCCTTAGTATCTTCATGCAACACTTTCCAGCATGTTGACAAGACCATCCTGTCAAAGTCTGCAATAAGAATGACTGCCTAAGGTAAGCTCAAGAGAAACACAGGTTGGAATCATCGCAGATCGGAAGATGGAAAGATTAACTTCAGACGGTGTCAGATGTCTATAAAATCAAACTACGTTTTTAGTTTAAGCTATGTAACCAACATGTTGAGTATTCTTCCGAAAGACACGGCAAGTGAAGTGTTACAACAGCTGTATTTTAGTTTCAAAAACACCCAATAATTGCAGCACACAGCTGACAAGGACGTCACTGTGTTCACACAGAGTATGAATGCTTCCGCCTTCCATTAGTCGCAGGCAAATATCACTGACTGCATGCCACCCGATTGGTTTGCTGTACGAGCCAATCGCATTTCTCCGTGTTCCACCTGTGCCGACAGTTCAAATGTATGCGATTACGGTTGTTTACTTGTAGCATTGCTTGCTACACTGGTGATAGTTGATTGCTGGCGTCAATCAGAACTTTGGCTGTCTGCTTATTTTCAACGTTCTATTAGTAACAATTTTCCTCTTCTTTCGGCCACATTCCACCAAATTCTACAATGCATTTCTAGTAAGCTAACCCTACATGTTGTCGTTGTGCCATTTCCCCTTTGTAGTCACCTTCTCCAGGAGAATGAACACAACTTCCGCGAGATTACCCTGTACGCCGTAAAGCCTTCACGAAGTCACCTCAACTGGTGATGAAACCTCTGCAGCAAAATTAGCCAATTCAGTGAACAAATTAAGACATAAACAGTCAAAAAACGCTACAGCAATTTCGATGTATTGCAAACTTTCAACAAGGTCGAACTCACCATTGGAATAGCAAAGTGAAGAGTATCTGTCTCTAGCGCCTGAATGGAATGAAGCTTTTTGGAGGATGATCGCTGGGCAGGAGCGGGAGCCGACTCTCGTCTTTGATCTTTGGACCTCTCTTTACGTTTACCTGGATGGGGAACAGAGAGTTTGGCGACATCCGGAGACAGTTGACCGGCGTCTTGTGTATTAGATAGGTTCTGTAAAATATCAAATATATATGACGGAAGGATAGGGTCGAGAACTACCATGAGAGTCATGGTAGTTTCTATGTAATTAAATGGGGCTGGCAATGCTTTGTGTACGAAAACCGTGTGGAAGAGCTCATCCGACCCTTGTCGGATAACACCGACTGCAGATTGCCGCTCAGTTATCTGCCCCGCATGGAGATTGGAAGTTACGAAACAGAGAAATGCAACCAAATCGGATGCCACATACATCATTACTGTACAAGCGGGAACGATGTGGCTGAAATGTGGCCGCATTCCACACACAAAGCCAACTTCAGTCCAAGACCACAGCCAGTATTATAATAGGGCAGTGGGGAGGTGTTAACTATACCTAAAAAGCAAGTCAAATGTTTCCGAGTTTTGTCGGTAGTTTCGGACAATTAAACAGCAAACACTGTAAAACCAGAGGACAAACATAGACGGAGCATGTCAAACAACATCCAACTGTAGTTCCTCCTAACTTCTTAAGTTGATAATCGCATACTACACATGCGTAGCTGGGCTGCGCTCTCTGACACTTTCCAGATTAAGAATACAGGCACACCTACCTCGTGGAGGCAATGGTGCGTACGTCTGAACTGTTCGCCAAGTGAGATACGCTAGAATCCGTAAGTAATGATTACAAGCGCGATTGATTGATCAGATCCTAGCCTGGCTTAGTACCATGGTATGCCACCAAAGCACACAAAATTTGCCAAACTTCTACCAACGCTTAATTTTGCAACCACAAGTATATACACAATGGGGAAGGATGAAAAAATTCAAAGACCACCAGATGCTTGTGAATTTGTTACTTGAGCAAACCGAAGATGTATGAGCCGTCCAAATGTCAACCTGCTTCATGTGTCGCATTAAATTACCCAGTTTGCGGAGACCATCTTGACCCCACTCCCAATGAGCCTACAGAGCTTGATTCGATTGCCCTACCTGACTTGACGTCGTGCACACGCATCCGCACCATAATCTTGGTTACCACCACCAAAGGTCTACGAAATAAACTGAGTGTTACGTTAACGTGTAGGCCAGGCTTTTACAGACTGAGCATCTTGGCTGGGTGTAGTTAATCGACCCCTTGCCTCGGCCTGGACAACAGAGATTACGCAAGACTGCACGATGGCTTCTCACAGGCCGTACCATGCTGCCAAATGAGTTGGCATCTGGATGCACGCAGTCTAAGACAGGGGTAGCCAAAGTCCGGCCCACGGACAAAATGCGGCCCGCGATAACATTCCAACTGGCCCGTGGCCTTATCATGAACTAACAAATGCAAGCCTGTATTCTTTCCGTACAAACGACATTAGATCGATTAAAAAACATTAAGGACATCATGAGCAAAATTTCCACGGCCCCAGATGTTGGCAAAAATCACTGTAGCAGAATCTTGCATGATTGAAATTTCATCTGGAACTTGCTAAATGCTGGCACTTTGATTGTGCTTTCCGATCATTCAAATGACCTCCCATTGTGCATACGAAGGCAGTTCGTGCACCACGCTATGTCCTCAAAAGGTCCGGATATTATGATCACACTCATACACCCCTCCCATGTGCATATCTTGGTAACCGTACAATTCTCTGTATGCTCACACCCTTGCCCAGTGGTTCATCTTCATTCCCTCACTGACAATGTTTGACCCCATTTAGTTTCGTCACATCGGTAACAGGCGCCCAATGCACTAGGTATGACGTCACTATTTTCATGGTGATGCAACATAGCAACCACTATCGTCATCAAACTGTCCAATCTGTTTGCTTGTGTATTACATGTTCAGCTGAGTGTTGGGAAGCGACATGCGGAGAAACCGAAGCTTTGTCACCAAAACATTGTCAAGGTGAGCCTGTCACGTACTAATGTCGATTTCAGGTGTTGGGGATCGAAGGCGGCCGATCGACGTGCCTGGCCCCATTTGATCACGAATGTAGTTGCCGCAGTGTAAAAGCCCTCGTGCATGCAGAGAAGCGACAGGTGCGGAGGCGACAGGCGCCGATGGTGTGTACTTCATCGAAGTCCAGCACATGGTGCTGTAGCACATGCGGTCGCGAGTGCCTGAGTCAGGCAGGCCTTGTGAGCCACGAGCAAGGTCACTCGGGATCAGCATCAAAAAGACGACGGGTGCTGTCGAGAACATAGGGAGGACCAGCGCAGCGTTGGTACGTACGGTGCATTCGATTTACTAACCGTGTGCTTGCATGCCGAGTTACGTTCAGGTGATCGGTTTACTATATTTTGTAAATATACTTAATTTACCTCGTTTTTATGTCAATCTGAATAGGATATTTACTTGCTCACGTCGCTAATTTCGTTAATTTTATCCACCAATGATCTCATTTGCTGCCATCTTGAGTTTATGGAGAATTTGCTGATAATGACTTTCTTCCATATAATACTTAAGTGAAGAGGTTAGTCGGCATATCCGTATGCCTTATCCGTTTTATTTTATTTACTATCTTCATTCCAAGTGAATGTCTGTTCGTGACATTCCCGTGTGGTTGCGCTTGATGTGCATACCGACAAGGTGCCTACCTGTCTATTACCCACTACCTCGTCCAAATGGTTCCAGGACACAGGTGGTCGTTGCTAGAGGGGACGGGGTGCACGGTCCCCGTGACCGTGCTAGGCTCAAAGAGTGGTTCTATGCACATGATTTGCGTGTAGAGCTGTCTACGGCTTAACCACCGCCTTGTGTGCGTTTGATTTCCAAATATAACGTGCCTGTGTTTGTCTGAAGCAGTGTGGGTCGGCTCCGTTGATGAAACGTGACTCCCCTCCACATGCCTCCCGATCTTATTCCGTCGGATTTACACTAGTGAAGGGGTGTGTGGTTGGAGCTGTGGGTGGTGCAGCACAAGCCACCCATGATCCCCTGTAGGCGCAGGAGTCCTGTGGCTGTCCTCTTGGAGGTCACAGTGACAGGCAAATCCGGAACAGGATGCCGACAACCATGTTAGCAGCACTCTATGGTCGGACGATCTGTCATTGGCCGGCGACCCTGCTAATAGTTTCACGCGTCGACTAAGTTGACCTGTCCTCCGGATGTCAGAATTGAAGAGCAATTTCCTTCCTGTTGTGCAACTGCAGTTTGTCGTTGACGGTGATATATCGAAACCTGAACAGTTGAGGTTTGCCCAAATTTTTCTAACTACATGCATTTTAATAGTATAATACTGCGATCCAATCTTGTTCCATTTATGGGAGCATTGGATTGGTGTCATTCAACCATCGATGATCCAGTATGGCTTAGTAGTAACCAGATAGAGAGAGTAAATTTTGTACTTTAACTAAAGAAAAACTATAAAGATGGCTTCGTTAACATATCAT